TATTCAAACAAAATTAACATCAATTATTTCCTTCCCTTCACTTCTCTTTCTTTCCCTTCTCCTTCCTTTCCTTCCCTTTACTATTATTATTATTTTTTTTTGTTTGAGTTTGTATTTCTTTATAATATATATCCATGTTTCCCTTGTTTCAAGTCATTCCCATCTCTTTCTGTTTGTTATTCTAACAACGACTAGGTAATCATTCATCAAGCCCCAGCAAATAAGTTGTTCTCTTCATCAATCAATGGCATGTGAACTAATTGTCTTCCTGTGGCTTGGAATTGGAGGCTTCCTTACCAAACTGGATCCATGGCTTGGAGTTGTGCAGCCTAAGCACTCATTTACTTACTTTTGGGGCAAAAAAACCAGTGGTCCATCATGCAGCTTCACGTTGTGCTGGACCTGAACCGAGTCTATGCCAAATATGAGGGTAAAGACTAGATAACAATTATGGCCGAAGGCAGTTGTATTTTCTAAACTCACTTCAATAGGAGATACTACTGAGATACAGCTTCTGTCAATATTTAGCCATGGAAACACGAAAAAAAGCCATCAAAGAATTAATTTAGACTAATTCTTCATATACAAATAAGACATTGATGGCTAATGACTACCATTAAAAAAAATTAATACATAGATGCATCATCTTTATTAAGTACATATACAAAGAGATATTGATAATCCAAATAATGATCGATAATATAGACTTTAAGCATCTCTTTCAGCACCACTCGGGAACCATCCTATCCTACAACAATTAGCATCAGATATTCAATGATTTTGAACCAATGACAACTCATCATCCTGATTTTACAGCATCTCATTTTATCAGCACTTCAGATCAGAGCACAAAATTTAAGTTAATAGTCAAAATTGTGGTAGATGCTAAACTATGAGGGGTTCAACTTGCCAGTCTATTTCTAAGTGACTGCAATCCAACAAACCTTTAACTCTATTCAGAGCCGCTTGCCTGTGTTGCAATAATGGTAGTGAGCCTAGTTCAAACAGCTTTGTTGAGTCATCAATCTTCCATTTGCGGGGCAATTTTCTTGAGCATGTTTTCCACTTTGATTCAAACTCACAAGCTATAAATAAGAAAAAGAAGAATTCAATACATCAAGCACTAGAAAGCTATAAGTTTCAGCAACCTCAGTAAAGAAGCAAGGTGCTACAATTCATAGACATAAGACAGTCTATTCTCATAGAAAGTCACCACTTTGAGAAACATTTTTCAACAATATTTCTTTGCCCTTAAATAATGAATAGTATATATTTTTAAAAAGAAACATACACACAAAGCAAGTACCTTCACTTTGGTTGTTGAAACCATGAACTATGCATGCACAGACCCATGGCCTTCCTGCACGGGATGCTTTTGCTCCCCCTTTAAGTTCCCCATTGTGTTGCTTCAAACTGCATAGGAAAGCTCAATATTTAGAACACTTGGTTTCAATTTTCAAAATATTCACACCATGGTTGTTTGATTTCGGGAAACAGTGAAGAGAATACTTATTTCCAATCATAAAGAAATCCAAGACTTTGAAATATATAAATATATATATATATATATTGGATAATATGTAAAGTCTTCACTTATCCAGTAACTACAATGTACATGAGCAGCAATTTGTTGCTACAGCCAATCAAATAAAACTCAGCAGTAAAACTCTGCTGTACTCAATTCTTTACAACAGCCTTGATCCTGCATCTTTTTGCAATATCCATGGACAACGGGGAAGTTTTAGGCTTAGCAAAGCCTAAAAAAGACTTTGAAATATTATTAATTTGTGTAAAACAAAACTTGATACAAGTGCCTTGTATTTTCCCAAATTCAAGCTTGCCCTTGTTTTTCCAAACCATCCTAGTACAAACATGTTCATTGGCGGATTCTGAGCTTTGCTTCCATCAAAGAAAGGTTCATTAAATATCTAAGATTAACAAGTGTTCATAAAATCACCAAAAATATACCAACCCACTTGCTCTTTGTTCATTGAATATGCACCAAGCCAGATTCCAGAATGATGAAAAGCATTCCCTGAGTAGGCTACTCAAACATCAACAAAAATACTCCACAGAACTCCAAAAAAAAAAGGCAAATTGTAATCAAATTGAGAATATTTGACATGTCAGCGTGCTTCTTTACTTGATCAAAACTGAAAACAGAGCATCAACTCCAAATTGATAAAGAAATTAGTGTCTACTGGAGAAAAAAAAATTGTACTTTTATCGTTGAACCCTCCAGAACTCAGCATGAATAACATCACAATTCACCCATTTCGATTTACAAGAAAAAATGGGGATAAAACAATTAGACAGAGATAAGCATATTCATTGAAATCAAGAGAAGAAATAAAAGTAGGAATATCAACATACCGGCGAGAGAAATCGTTTGTGGCGCCAACATAGGTTTTGATGGGGGCGTTGGTGGAAACAATTAGGTATACGCACCATGATTTTGAAACAGGTTTCAAATTTGAATTCAGTTTGGGCTGCCATGTACCTGATTTCGACGACGAAGCTGGGTTTTCTAAACTAGGATTAGGGGTAGGGTTCAAAGCTCGGGGCTTTACAGATCGGAATGTCGTAGAGAGCAGCCTCATCATCGGAGGTACGACTAGTGCTTCTGAGTTTCGTATGTCGCTTCTATTTATTCATTCATGTCGGCTGAAGAGAATTTGTCCGTTGTCGACGCCGGCGCCGGACATATTTATGATGACGATAGGGTAAAATGGTATATTACTATTCACCCATTACAATTTGATTTTTTTAATTTTTCCTTTTTCTGCCAGAAACATAAATATTACAGTTTTGATGAAATAGCCCCCTATTTCATTTATAATCATGAAATAGTCCCTCTTTTTTTTTTTTTTATACACTACACTAGAGTTTTTATTTATTTTTTTAACTAAACTCTCCGATATTTGAAAATTACATTGAATCCTAGTTAATTTAAAATCAAATTAGAATGGACTGCATAAAAAGAAACCCCTTTCAATGTCTATCTCTCCATCTATAAAACTCAAATTCATAATATTAATTAAAAGAAATCAATTTTTTTTTTACTTGAATTAACATATTGTTAGTACTTTTTTTTTTTGGTTTCCCGTCCGGTATCTGGGGCTTCGCCCCGATTAATCCGGACCCGACCCGCGTCGCGTACCTAGAAATGGTGGGTGAGTCTCCCAGCGGGACTGCTGCGTACACAAAAACTTGAACTCGACACTTTACTTAAACTGAAACAAGCCGCTTACCACTTGATCAAACCCCTCGTTGGTAACATATTGTTAGTACTACACTAGAGTATTAATTTACATTGGATTGTATTTTATAGGTAAGTAGCTTCTTTTATTTCTCTATTTTGTTAGGCCAAAATCTTGAAAAAAAAAAAAAAGTTTTATCATTTTTCTTTGATGGAAAATGGAGAAAATTCATTAAACAGAACTAATGGAAAAACATTTACAACTCAATACATTTATATGATTGAATCATTGAATAGAATAGTAAGAGAGAAGGAGAAGCATATAGGAATTTACATCATCTCATGGACAGAGCTAAAGTTTTCTGTGTTATTGAGATTTAATTTGTGATATTATCCGGTTCCAGAATGAGAAGCTGGATCCCAAGAATCTCACTCTCACTGTTATTTTTGAACCTTCTCTTATGAATTCCAAATCCTTGGCAATGTCATCCTCAATACCATCAGCATCATCAAGCAGGGGTAATGAAACTGAACCTTGGGATTCCAGGCTTTTGATCCACCCACGAAGCAAGTAATTCACAACCTGTCCAAGTAATCATAGGCAAATTCTTGTCACTCCACCAAAATACCACATAAACTTGTACCTTTCAACCCAACATACATGCATTCATAGGTATATATATGTATATACCTCAGGAACTTCATCGTGAGGGCAATGACCAGCTGGACTGATCTCATAGTATGGAGCTTCAGGCACCTGCTTCTTAACCTGAAGGCCCCAGATGGGTTTCACCCAGGGGTCTTCTTTTCCATACATGAGACAGAGGGGAACATTGTTCATGTGACACCTAGAAAGAATACCAAACTGAAAAAGTCCTTAACTTGAAGCAGAAATAGAGACAACATATGCATGAATCTGCATCAGAACTTTGACCTTTTTTTTATCATACACTGACCTGGATAAAGCCTCCCTAAATGATAGTTCTCCTCGAGGAGCAAACATAATTGAAGCAAATGATGCAGCAGCAGCAGGATGTTGCGTTGTCTCAAGAATTCTAGAAAATACTTTGTCAACATTTGTGGAATGATCTGCGTAAACCTGTCTCAGTATTTCTACAATATTTTCAGGATCACTTATTTTCTGCCAACTAAAATCAACAGGAGAGAAGCAGAAGTTAGGTAAATAATAGCTAAGTTTTAAGAAGAGAGAGCAGGCTTTGGTTTTCCTTTGAAAGTTGGAATTTTAAATTGATTCAATTCCTGACGATTTAATTCACAAACTGGGCCAAGCCCTTAATAAGATCTTTGCCTATATAATCTATTCATATAAGCTCTGTTGGATTAATCCGTGAAATCATGTTGATGAGTTCAAAAAAAGGCAAAACTTACACAAATTCTGTCAACTTTCTCACACTTTCTGGCAGGGGAAATGTTCCAGACCATGGAAATAACCTTGCTAATCTTGGAGATCTTATGGGATTAGGTAGAAATCCCCAAAAAGGAGTTGCATTAAGTAGTGTAACACCATTCACCAATTGAGGATGGCATGCTGCAAAGTATAATGCAACAAATCCTCCTAGAGAATTCCCCACAATATAGACTGGTTCTCCAATCACCTATGACAAAAACACAATACACCCTTCATACCAGCTTAATGCCTTCTTCTCTGAACCAAAATTTTACTTGATTGTCAATATAAAATCCCAAAAGGCAAATGGCTATGCTATGGTAAAGCTTTTCCTACCTGCTCTACAAAATAGCGAACTTGATCTCGCCATAAATCCATAGAATAAACCAGTTTGCTGGCCCACGGTTTAGTTTTATCTCCAAATCCCCACACAAGATCCTTCCCCGTAGAGGAGCTCTCCACCTTAGATTGTGAAGTTGGGTCTTCAAGTGGCAACGACAAGCCCTGACCAAGAAAGTCGATTGCCCATACTCTATAATCACGTCCCAAATCCTTGAGTTGCTTCTCAAAATGAAAAGTACCAACACCAAAACCAGGAAGAAACAATATAGGTGGAGAATTCACATTCTCACAACCTGATTTCTCATAATGCACATTAATCTTAGGTTTCCATTCCCAAAAACAACTGCTTACTGGAGCCTCATATTCACCATCAGAGTCACTTGGCAACCCAGGAATCAAAACCCTACCCACTGATTCCCCAGTTTCTGGCATACTTCCCACATCCTCTTTATTTCCAATGACATACCCATTGAAGTTTCCACTGAACACCTTTGACTTTGAGCACCTAGAACCCTTCCCATGATAGTAAGTCTTTAAGCAAGGATGTCTTTTATCAGAAGATCCAATAGACCCTCTTCTGCAATGAATCCTACTTCTTCTAAAAGATGTAAGCTTTACTTGCTGTGCATTGAAGCTTTTCCTTGCTAATTTCAGGTTCAAATTACTGCATGGTGGAGAATTGTATAAAATGATTTCCATGCCCGGAAGCTATGTTCTTCTACAAGGATCACCAAAACCAAGAATTTTAGCAAAAACTTAGCACCTGGTTGGTCACAAAAGCAACTCAAAGAGAATACGATTGGAACCCATGTTGTATTCCTTTCCTGAAACCGAAAGTGCAGAGCTACAGCATACCCACTTCAAATAATCTCACTCTTCAAGTTCAATCAAAGAATACCTAATACTCAAAATCTTTACTTCAATTTTCATCATTTTAGGGGTACCCACAACCCCACAAAGAACACAAAGCCATGAATAATTCCAACATAAAACATAACCCAAAAAAAAAAAAAAAAAAA